TGCTGACTCACAAGAAAGTAGGCGTTTTTGTGAGGGGAGGAGGTTAAACAGGAGCAGTAGAGTTGGGGGTTGCTCACTAGGGCTGTATCTGCAGGGCTGACCCTGTGGCTGCTCGCTCTGGAGGTCAGAGGTGTAGGAAGGTCCACGGGCTGCTGTAGCAATGAGGAGTGGAGAGTTCATTCTCATGTATCGGTGTGGTTCCCTTTTCTCCTTGGCACTCTCCAGCGTCTCGGTGGGTCCTCCCATGATAAAGGTCTATGCTTCTGCCTCAGTGGTGCCTAGTGATGGATGACCCTGAAAACCAGAACACTTGGCTTAACTCTTCCTGGAGGCAGTGCCAAACCTCCCACCAAGGATGCGGTCACTTGGATATGAACCCAAAGTCCTGCCATTAAACAAGGGTCCTATGAGTCTGGCTCTTGCTTTGTCGAATGGCTTGGATGTTGGGGGTTCTGTGGAGACATGCTCCCTTCCGGCTCATGCTCTGGGCTCTCTCTCCACTTTGGTTTCTCTTTTCAGAGATCCACCTCTTTGAGCAAGACCCAGCCGAGTTACACCGTCCATCGCCACCTGTTACAACAGATGGTGTTCTATGAGATCCTGCAGCACCAGGTACATGAGAAGCCAGCAAGCTGGTGGAAGCTGGGGGAGGATTTAATTTCATGCTGAAGTGCAGATGGGCTGGATTGTGACTCTTTGGAGCCTTTGGGGTGTATCCCAAGAGTCTTTCCAAAGCAACGAGTTACCCCCTGTGGTGCAAGCATCCAACACATCAGCCTATGTTGCTAAGAAGGGGCATGTTGTGTAGCACACTGGCATCTTTAACATCAACCTGGGACAGCAGAAGGGGCCTTCTCTGATGTCTCCAGTAAAAGACCTTGGTTTTTATAGCAATTGAGTGAGATTACATGAAAACTGAACCACTGCTAGCAGATCTGTAGCCCTGTTCCTCACTCCTGCAACAACTACTCGGTCCCGCACTTTCCAGGAAGCCCACCCTCGGTCTGCACCCGACGGTGGCTGAACCCTGTGGATATTCGCCTGGACTGGAGCAATGACTATGTGTGGCGTTGAAGGGCCCATCCTAGAGCTTGAGAGAGGAGGCGGGGCAAATGAAAACCAAGTACAAATCCTAGGAGGAGCCAAATTCTATGAATTGCTCCAGGAAGCTCTTTTCTCTTCTTCAGGGCAGGATTAACTCTCTTGCTCCTTCCTTCTGCATACAGGCTGGGAGTACTGCCTGGGATGGGGATCTCAGTAAACATGCCAGCACGATCCTGTACCTGCATGCCGCTCAGAAAGATCTGTCTGACTTTCACCAGGTCATGGTGTGAGTATCCCATGCACCCAGCTAACCTGGGCAATATTGTGTAATGATTATGGCAATTAGGAGACCTGGGATCTATTTCCACCTCTGCCACTGATTTTGGGTGACCCTGGGCAAGTCCCTTCACCTTTCTGTGCCTCTATAAAATTATAATAACACTGCCCTAGTTCACAAGCATTGCGAAGTCAGACTATGCTTTGAGAACCCAAGATAGCCAGCATTGTGGGAGTATGAAGTATAGCGTTATTATTGTTGTTGTTAAAGTGCAGATGCCCACACCTGCTGTCTGTGGCAAGGTCAGTAGTCTGACTTCCTTGCTCTTCTCCATGTGTTTGGTCACTTCTGTCTCATGCATCGCTACTGACAAACACTACTGACATGCTCTCCCCGTGTGTTTATGGTAGCAGAACCATTGGATCTCTCTCCCTCACCATCTGGCGTGTGAGCACATGCCAGGAAGCCCCTGATTCTGCTAACACTGCAGTTATGGCTGCTCCCCTGGGCTGGGACACGTGGCGGAGCGAGGCTGGGGGAGCGGCTGGCTCTGGCCTGCTGGGGTAATAAGAAGCATCTGAGCCTGAATCCCTCGTTCTCCCGAGAGCATGTTCCTACTTGAGGAGGATACTGGGCCTGGCCTAAATGCCCCTAATTTCCATTGCCAGCAGAATCACCCGCCCCCCATTTGCAACTATCCCAGTTCCCTTTGGGGGTTGCTTGTGGCTCCTTGGATGCTCACAGTGTGTCCTCCCCCTTTCACTACAGCCAGTGGCTGGCTTACAGCAAGCTCTACCAGAGCTTAGAGTTCAACAGCAGCTGCCTGCTGCACCAGATCACCAGCATCGAGTACCAGTGGGTCCAGGAAAGGCTGCGGCCTGAGCAGGTAGGAGCAGACCCCATAGCCGCACTTGGGGCAGGGATCCAGGGAGCAGGGGCAGGCTCTGATAAGCCACGACAGCTGAGGGGCCCTCCTCACATCACCTCTCTTGGCTTCTCGTGGGCTGGTTGAGACGCGCCACAAATGTAACTGATTGGTTTGGCTCTGGTGGGACCCCTTTTGGAAGGAGTTTGTGGTGCCTGCCAGCTAAGTGCAAAACCTGACAATGGGCTCAGCAGCCGCTGCCAACACCTCATACTGCAGAGAGTCTTTAAGATTGTATCATAATCTAGAAATCTGACTGAGGTGATTTGGGCTGCTCTTCCCTTCGGCTTCTGAGATTCTGTGAGGAGCTGCAGCGCCATCCTAGGAAGGTGGCGTTCCTTAGTAGTTTTCCTGTGCAGGGACAGATCATGCTAAAAAACCTGGCTATGGGCTCTCCTGGGGTAGGATTTCAGCCTAGCAGCTTGGCTTGTTACATGGCTAACGTAATGGGGAGCCATTCTACGAACGGACTCCCTTTCCCCACCTGAGGAACTTTGTTACTTTTCCTTCAGTGAAGCTGGAGTTAGCAATGGGCTAGAGAGTCCTTCACCTCAAGGTCACCAGTTCAAACCCAACCCAGGCAGATGGTGACTGAAGGGCTTTACCGTCTGGCAGACCCTTATTCGTGTTCTCATGGAAACTGCCCCTCACCATGGTGGCTGGCACTCTTGTTGGCCACCTCTTTCTAGGCTGGCATGGGGATTGTGCTGCCCTCTCACCCCCGAGGGGTAATCTGCTGGGGCCCACTGGAGTGGCGGCGCACACTGCTGCTGCCTGTGCTGTGTCTGTTCTGTGCTTTAAATCTCACTACAAATGACACCGTCCGGTGTCCGGCTTGCCTGTGTACTCACCCAGCTCACCCTGTTGAGAGTCCTCAGACCTCTATCAGGTCACCCTCAGGGAGTAAAACTGTGCCTGTTTCCTGCCTGGGAGTATCCTGCCATTGCTGTATTTGTTCATTATGGTGTGTTTAAAACCCTGCTTTAAATGTAAAACTCACCTTCACCTTCACTAGAGAGCCTCTGCCAAAGTCTCAGTCTCCTAAAGCAGTCTAGAAATCCATTCGAGGTGATTGCGTTTTGCTTTCCCCTCTCACTTCGGAGAGGCTGCTGTGAGTGATTTCAGGGCCCCCTAGAAGGCGGGTATTCCTTAGTGCTTCCCTTTGCAGAGGGGGCAGGTTTTGGAGACAGATGCACATTGCAAAATGTAGAAATAGCCCCCTCAGTAGAGAGGCTGTGTTGGTTGGGGACAGGCAGTGTCCATCTGAGATATTGTGGTTGTCAGTTTTGCTGCTGATGCATGTTCCATTTCTTCTTCCCAGAGAGAAGAGCTGGCTGAATCTTTCCAGACCTTACTGGCCTATGGACTCTCTGTCCTCCGGAAGTACCGCATCGTCTTCCCGCTCTCTTCTGCTAGGTCCACGCACAGGCTACAGTCGCTGCTCAGGTCAGCCAGCTGCAATGTGTCAGAACCACGTCAGTCAGAGAAGAAACAGCCTCCCCACATCCTCCTGGGCCTAGTGCTGGATTGTTCCCTATTCTACTCTATCCAGTCTGCCTTTTAATCCCCCCCTCCCCCATGTATGGTGCTTCCCCTGGGGAGACTGTTCTACGGAAACCTCCCTCCTACTCCCATTCCCAGCTCCTCTTGTTGTCTCCTCTCCCCTGCCTTTCCCTGTCAGCTCTGTCCCCTAAGGAAGTAGACAGACCTTCCCCACTCTAATCTGGGACCTCCCCCATTCTGAACTGGCATCTTGATGTCATTGCTTCCTGTGAGGCCTAGGGAGTGTTCTCTCCTGGGCTTGCCCAGGCTGCCCTTTGTATCATGGGATAACACAAATCACAAAGAAAAGTGTAGCCCCCGGTCAAATCCTGCTACAGATACTCTCTGTGGGGGAGGATGAGAGTCTAGCAGAGCCCCACTAGGGAGGCTTGGTTCTTTAGCACAGCCTGTAGCAGCTCATGCTTGTAGGTCCCCAGTTCAACCCCTGATGTGCTAGCAAGAGCGTGCCTGTCACATTGTGATGGCTTTTGTTGTTGTTTTAACTCCAAACCATCCCCATTAACTTCTCCTGCCCTGAGATACTTCTCACCTGGTGGGAGAGTGAATTTGGGCTGTGGACAATAAATCCTGCCATGCCTCAGCACCCTGCTGAGGAATTATTAGCATTTGGTCCTCTCCCAGTGTGCCAGTGTCTGTCCCTCTGTCTATGACCAAGCAGTAAGGTCCTAATGTACAGGAAGCCCTGTGGAGGAAAGTGTATGGAGAGAGGAGAGCTCTGTGGCTGGTGGCAAAGCTCTTTGGCGACTCAGCAGGGTTTCTCACTTCACAGGGTCCTGCTCCAGGTCTGTAAAATGAAAGCCTTCCAGGAACTTTGTAACCTGACCCCCAGCCTGCGGCAGATGGTGATGGACGCTCTCAAGGTACAGTTGCATCTCTGTGCTCTCTTCTCCCCCAGCCCATAGGGGATCTTCTGACTTCCTCCTGGAGCCGTGGGCATAGTCCCACCCTTACACCGGCATGCAAAAGCTTTCAGTCTGGACCTTAATTAGAAGCAGAGGAGTGGAAAGTAGCATTTCCAAAGTTTGTCCGCCTGGGCCTTTGACTGCTCTAGAGAGGTGCAGTGTTCTCCAGGACTGAACATGTTGCCTGCTCTGGGTATGAGATGTGGTCTGGATGGCAAGGAAGGCGTGTGCTGTTGTGCCCGGGTGAATGGGGCTAGGTTGTCTCCGCCGATTCTGCTTCTCTCCCCTCATTCCTTCTCCCGTTCTCTTTCAGTCCGGAACCACGGAGTGGTTTGCTATGCAGAAGCATCACCTGAAGCCGATAGTGAAGGTCAGATCTGCTTTCATTCACACACTGGTTTGCTGGGTCGGGTCAGAAGAGGAGGACTGGGGTGACGTTTTCTCAGGCCACAATCCAGAAGTGGCCAGCGATTCTGAATGCCCAAAAGGCAGAGTGAGCCCAGTTTTCAGAGGTGCTGAGCAACCACAACGGGGGTAAAAGGCATCCGGCTGCCCCTATAAGGAATGAACAGCTGCTGCCTCCTGTCCTGTCCCCTCCTCTGTGTCAGTCTCCGCTGGTCACTCCTGCTAGCTTGGCACGTTGCCTGTTATATAACACACCATGGAGCAGCCTCCCAAAGACTGGGCCTGGCTCCTGCCTGCCCCCCCCAACCCTCCATGCTGCTGCCTCTCTATCAAAGGCAGAAGCGCGGGTGGTCAAGCAGCTCTGAGGGCTCAGAGTCAGCAAAGAGGGGGAGTGTGTGCAGTCGTGTAGCTGTTAGGATTAACCAATAAGCCCAGACTTATCCCTACACAATAAGCCCAGGCTAATATCCCAACGCCCAACATTATTTTTAAGGCATTCTCATGATTTTGGGGAAGGCCCGTCTCATGATTTTTGAAGGGTGATACAATGTGCCAGGATTCTTCCATTGCTTGTCCAAATGGATCGTGAAGGTGGATATTTGCTTTGCTTCCCTTGTTTCTTAAACTGTGTTCCGTGGCACACAACAGAGTTCAAAATGGCCACCCTTAAAGGGACAGGCGACTTTTTTCCCCCCTCAATAACTTTCCGCCGATCTTATTTTTCTTTTCTTTTTTTGCTCAATAACTTTTCCTCTTTTTTTCTCACCAAAAACTCATTGTTGTTCCTCATAAAAAAAAAATGGTTTGTTGTTCCTCCATCTTAAAAAGTTTAAGAGACACTGTCTTAGACACACTTGGAAACAAATCTTTATTGTCTTATCCAGCATTAAAAGCCAAAGAACAATCAATGACAAGCTAGCCAGACAATTCAGTCATTTTGTTTTGTAAGGAAAGACAATCTAGTAGGACCCTTGTATACTTTTAATGGCAGTTAACATTCTTTAATAGCATTATAATATTCCATTACAGTTTCCTCGCACACTTCAATGCAGCAATTGTATAACTAAAAAGCCCCTAGGTAAAAAGATGCTCACTATGTGACAGTGAAAATAGTTCAAGAAAAACAGAGAAAATTGCACAATGCTGTATAAACAGCTGCTTGTTGGATTTATCTTGTTGCCTCTGTGAAAGCAGAGGATAGATCCAGGCGTGGTTCAGTGTAAATTTCCTGACCGTTCCAGTTTATATCCCATGCGTGCTCTGAATATAGGGATTTCAATCCAGGGTCAGGTCAGTGGTCCCTCTAGTCCAGTTCCCTGTCACCAAACACTCTCAGATGCAGCAGAGAGGAATCTTGAAGAGGATAGCTGGGCTCATCTACACAGCAGAGCTAATGTCAGAATAAGCTACGCAACTTGAGCTACATCAATTGCATAGCTTAATTTGGTTTTTGGCGCTGTCTACACAGCAGGAAATTGAAGGAAGAGTATTCTTCCTTCAACTTCCCTTACTCCTCCTGAAATGAGGGTTACAGGAGTCGGAGTAAGCAGTCCTCCAGCTTGACATTACTTTGAAATAATGGCTTGCTGTGTAGACGTGTTTTTTGTTGTTTTGGAATAACGTTAGTTATTCTGAATTAATGTTGCTGTGTAGACGTACCCTTCTTGAATAAACTCTGGACGGGGGGAACCTTCTTCCTAACCCTGGATAATTAGAGTTGGGTTTGTGCCCTGAAGCATGAGGGTTCATCTTCCTTCCAAATAGACTGAAAGAATAGGCAGAGGATATTCTTCTTAAATTGCAGCAAACTGTCCTCTGCATCAGACCCGCTGATGGGGGTAGGGCAAAGGGGGCAACTGTCCTGGGATGGATGGTACAAAAGGCCACTGCAGCAGGGCTCCACTGCAGCAGGGGTGGCGGCTGGAGCCCTGGGCCATTTAAATCGCTTCCAGAGCACCAGGCTTCGTGCTCTGGACAGCTTTTAGGGATGGGGCAGGAGGAAGAGGGTGTGGTGAGGTCCGAATGGCGCTGAGGGCTGTATAGCTTCAGCCCCGCCTCTTCTGCCCAAGGCCACGCCCCTTCCAGGAGGGCAGAGCAGTCTCCCCTTCCCCCCCACCTTACCCAGGGGCCTGAGGAGGCTGTTGGCCTTTATCACTGAGCTGTGATAAAAGTGAATGGGCCCAACTGCTGCCTTTTATTAAAGCTACTTTCACAAGTTATCACAGGCAAATGGGGATGATCATTCACAGCAGGTTCATGGGCATCCAGTAGGCGAGGCGGGGAAGGCTCAGCCTTTCCAAACCGCTAGGCATGGCCCTGCCCACACTCTGCCCCCAGAACGCCTGCTGTAGGCCTACTGAGGTGGAGTGTTGCTGCCCCTAGCGCCCGCTCTCCCTGATGCTATGGGCCTGGGGAGGCTAGAGCTATGCATCCTCCACCCTCCCCTCCCCATGGTGGGGGCGGGGCCTCAGCAGAAGGGGTGGGGCTGTAGGTGAGGTTGGGGGCCTGCCTCCCCCAGTCCTACCTTCATTAATTGCTCATGAGCATGGACTTGTGGTTAAAGCACCATACTAGTGTCGAAGATCTGGGTTCAATGCCCAGTCCTGCCACATAGTCACTGTGCGGCTTGGGGGAAGTTACTTCACTACTCTGTGTGTTTCAGTTCCCCAAGGGGGTAATGGGACATCCCTGTCTCCGAAGGGCACGGTGGGGGAATAAATCTAGCAGTGAGTGTAAGCTGTTCAGATATGACAGGAGTGAGTAGTGCTACCACTCGATACATTGATAGTCTCAAAATACCTGGGTGGGCACCAACACCCACGGGGTGACTTTCTGCCCTTCCCTTTGCAGACCATGGAGGAGCATGGAAAAGCGCTGGCCAGACTTCTCGTGGAGGTAAACGGGGATCTCCAGCAATGCCACAAAATCTGGAACAAATTCTTTATTAAGTAAGTACCTGGTTCCACCACCCTTTGCCCCTCGCTCTCACAGCAACTTTGCTTAGGGCACCAAAGGCAACCGCTCCAAAGCACAGTTCCCAGACATCGTACATATAAGACTGGAAAGCCCCGGGAAACATTCCCTCCTGGGTCATTGCATACCACAGCTCCCTGTTGCTTAGGGAGCCGAGGTTAACAGCATGTGTCCTTCCGTTCCAGTATTACTGGCTCACCAGTCGCCAGCTGGAGTCTTTCAGATTGTTGTAGTTTTGCAGCTTTTTGTCACTCTAGATCACATCGAAGGGCTCAGGTGGCAGAGGGTTAATTGCACGGGCTTGGACAGATTGATCAGGGAGTTGTATCGGGCAGATTCCTGACCTTCTGTTTCTCCCCTGCAGCACTGTGAAGGTGGATCTCTTTTCCATTGCCTACATGGAGCTGCAGGAGCTGGTGAGTGTGTGGAGAATAAAGCCAGGCAGAGGCAAGAGCCAGCTGTCAGAGGACGGGAAGCATCTGAGCTTCCCCTACACCCTGTGTGCTCCTCAGGGCTCATGGGAAGTGACTGCTAGCAGGAGAGAAACGTTTGTGTTCCGAACCGGGGGCCTCTTCAGATTGTGCGTGACCTGATTGCTGGGACTAGCCAGCAGTTTAAGATGGGCACATTTAGGCAGTGCAGCCTAGTGGCTATAGTAAAGGAGTGGAGATTGATTCCTGGCTTTGCAACCGAGTCAGCTGCAAGTCTATAAATTGATCAGTTCTCTGGGCCTCTGCTCACTGTCCCATAAAATGGGGATAAACGGGTTTTTCCTGTATTATTTGAAGCCCTTGAGCCCTCAAACCGCTGGTGTCCCCAACTTACAGCACCCTTCCCTCTGGTCTGATTGGGATGGCACATTTCCTTTCCCTGATCCCACAGCAGGGCAAGTATTCACAGAGCCGTTCTTAACCCGCCTGACCTCAGTGCCTTCCCTCGGTTTCCTTTCCCCGTATGCAGGTGTCACATCACGTCAAGGAGGAGTTGAGCGAGATTGACAGCGGCATGTCCCACCTCACAGCAGAGAACCTTTTCCAGCTCTACCTGAGCCTGAAGGAGCTTTACCGGATGAGGGGCTTCCTGAGCAAGAGGTGCTGAGCCAGATCCGACCAGAGTCTGGCCACATGGAGGAGAATAAACATGAGCAGCGCCCGGGAAATGGAAGCGGTGGGAGGGTGGGATCACGTCAGCGGCTCACTCTGCTGGGCCAGCTGGAGGAGTTGCGAGTGGTTGAAAAGGTTTGCTGGCCTGGCTGCCTGTCGCTTTGGATTAGTACAGCGGCATCATAAACAAATCCCAGACCACGTGGTGGGGTTTAATGCAACCTGCGCTTGCCACGCCTCAGGCACGGTGCTGAGTAGGCTTAGGGAGAGCCAGCGCTCCAGAGGCAAGTGGGGCTCTGGGAGGCAGAGATGGCTCAGATAATACGTTAGGCTGCACTTGCGCCAGCCTGTTTGTCCGGTGGGCAGCTGTGCTGTGGACGCTGCCGTCTCGGCGACACAGGAATATTTCAGGTTTAGTGGAAGCAGAATGTGCAGCCTCTTGCCTTTGTTCTGCGGCAGCACAGGAGCCAGCCATGTGTCTGTGTTCCCAGGGACGGCCCCCTTGCCCTGACTGACTTCCACCAGTGGTTTAAGGAAGCCATCCCCAAGTGGCTGCAGAAGACCTACACCATAGCGCTGGAGAGGACCCAGAGAGCTATCCAGGTGGACAAGGTAACAGTCAGATGGCCACGAAGGCGTTTCTGAGGCTCTCCAGCTTTCATCATTGTATGACCAGTCCTTCGCATCCAGCTCATTCATCCCTCCTGACGCCCACATCTCCACCTGTTGCCCCCTGCCTCCTATGCGGAACGCTAAGGACTGTCAGGCTTTGGGACCCCTACAATACTGTTAGCAAAGAACAGGCTGACCCAGAGGCGGATGGGGTAACAGGGCACCTTTACTGCTGATACTCGTTCCATCTCGGATCCCGCCTCCCTGGGATGCGAATGAGGAATTAATTTACCCAAGTAACACCATTTTATCTTAATCAGTGTGTAAACACACATCAATGACATCACTCTTTAGGCCCTAATTTAGTACTGTGAACACCCATATAATGCATAACCATAACCAGGTGGTGAATATAATTATAGTCCCCCTCTCTCCCGTTTACCATTTACAGCTTTTTAGCTGGTGTCGGCAAGTTTCATATCACAAAATTCCTGGCATCAGCAACGCAGAATGGGGTACAGGACATGACCCTGAATGTGTGTTTCAGAGTGAATACGGGAGTAAGGAAGAGAGCATTGTTAACACACAGGCCAATCATTACAATGTTACATCTCGGGTACAGCTGCATGTTCAACTATCCTGAGCAAGCAGGGAAAGGGAAATCAAAACAAATCTGTAAATCAATAGAAGCAGAGTCTGCCTGTGCTGTGCCCCGTACCCATAGTCATCACTACCAAGACCCCTGGTTTAGCCCTTGCACACCTCAACATTTAGTGCACCCCGACAGTCGAGTGGCCCCACCCTGCTCAGAGGCACAGGGCTCACAGAGGGGACATGCCTTCCTCTTGGAGTTGATCTTTGTACCGCAGGGCCCTTGCTCTGGAAGCACTGGCCCCTCACAGCCTCACGTCCTTGCTGACCCTGTCGTACTCTTGTGGCTTAAAGGCCCAGGCTCCATGGCAGCCTGTTGGCAGCGAGTTGAGACGAGCCTCTTTGTTCCTTTCTTGGCTCCCTTTGTTGGCAGTCCCAGCCGAGGATGGAACGGACGGTGGAGGACAGGGACCCACTCTTTTTTGGTCCCGCCAAGGCAGGGGAAGCCAGCACCAAGTCTGCCCATGCTGTGCTCTCTAGGTGTCTCCCCATGCTGCCTTCCCTCCCTGAAGTCTAAGGGGTGCAGCCTCACGGAGGGACCCAGGGATAGATGCCCTGGCAAGAGGAAGCACAGATTAACTCCTCTAGTGCTCCATGCTGGTCCTGTGGCCAAGAGAAAACTGCCTGGTCCCAGAGCAGTGACCATGGGGGAGCAGAGGAGGGGAAGGGTCAGAAGGAAGGTAAATAAGGGGCCACCTTGCAATATGCGCTGGCTTTGGAACTAGTTTGTTGGCTTATTGGCAAGTTTCTCAGTAAAATGTTTGTTTTTTCTCTTGCCACCCCCTCAGCTGACGCCGCTGGGGGAGCTGACTAAGCACAGCACATCCACTGTCGACCTGTCCACGTGCTATGCTCAGATTGTTAAAACCTGGCAACAGCTGGACTGGCCAGACCCGGAGGAAGCCTTCATGATCATGGTGAAGTTTGTTGAGGTGCGGATGGTCGGACAGTTTAGCTGAATCAGTAAGAGCAAAGTTCTAGCTCTGCTAAAAAGAGATGATCAAATGTTGTACCTCAGCGCATCAGAAGGAATTCCTCTCCTCCTCTGTATGCACCGGCCAAGTGCTGTTGGACTAGGCCAGTCTCTGAGACAGGGCACCAGAGAGAATGGCTCATTTGCCCGATCTGGTGTGGTAGAGCCAACATCTGCCCCCAGTGCCTATCTGTGCAGTGTTGTGTCGCTGTGCGTTCCCCAAGCTCGCTGCCTCTTGCGCTATCCCCTAGGGCCAAGGTGAAAATAAGCCGGCGTGCCCCAGTGCAGCACACTGGTAAGAAAAGGGCCGGCTGGGAGTGGGGCTCTGATCCAGCCCCCTTGTCCGTGTCCTCCCTGCTCCTCCCCCGCCTGGTGCTAAGGCCAGCAGCAAAGCCCTTTGGGGTGGCCGGGTTCAGGGCACTGGGCTAGGACCAGAAGTGCTGGACCAGAAACCTGGGAACACTGCAGCACCCCCATCCCCCGCACCCTTAGTTTCTTTCCCATGCCCATGGGCACTGCCCCCACAGCTCCCATTTGGCTGAGAACAGGAGCAGTGCGGGGCAGAGTCACCAAACAGGACTGTCCAGCTCCAACTCCCCCACCCCACACTCCACTCTTTGCACATGTACGACCAGAAGTGCTGGACCAGAAACCTGGGAACACTGCAGCACCCCCATCCCCCGCACCCTTAGTTTCTTTCCCATGCCCATGGGCACTGCCCCCACAGCTCCCATTTGGCTGAGAACAGGAGCAGTGCGGGGCAGAGTCACCAAACAGGACTGTCCAGCTCCAACTCCCCCACCCCACACTCCACTCTTTGCACATGTACCCTAGCCCCCTGCCCAGACTCCTGCACCCCCCCCCATGCACCCTGCCCTGAGGCCCCCACCCCCTGCCCTGAGCTCCCCTGTGTTGTGTCACACACTTACATTTCTTACAGGTA